TGAGTTGGCTGAATCAGAAGAACCCGGTCACCGTTGTGACAGTGGGGCCATTAGTCTATAGGTGGCAGGCTGTGACGGTCCTCTTGGCTTAATCAATGTGATGGCTTCATTAATCATTTTCTCCTAAGCTAGCAACAAGCAAATAATCCAATTGTTAGCAGTGACACTGAATAGTGAGACTTCCCGTTTCTGTTGCTCAGAGTCCTTTTTTTTAAATCATCATGATACTGTCAAGTAAAGGTGAAACCAGTGCCCAGAGAAAGCCCATTTGTCATTTTGAAGGGTTTCACAGAAAAGGAAACCTCACTTCAAGCTTTAACATTGTAGGAGGAGAAACAATAATGTACAGTATGTGGAAAATAATGTGTTTTTTGAACCTTAAACCGCATAAACACATTTCATTACACCAAATACACAAAATAATGTTCTTTTTAGCAACGTCATATGACCCCTTTATTTGCAGAAATGTGGCAAAACATCTCTGGAGAGAACCTCAGATTCGAAAGTGCTTTCAATATTTGGATCAACATAGGCTACATTTGTGAACGCACATTTTCTGCAATGTCGCGCGTCAAGTCACGCTTCTGTGCGCGTCTTACAGACTGCAACTTACAATCGCAACTTCATTGTAGTAGAATTATTTATTTATTTATTTCAATAAATGTAATCGTTTAGATATCATAATATTTAGGCTATAATATTATAAATCTGGTTGGTTTGTATTGGTGACTTAATATGTAAATGATATGCGTGCGGCCTGTGAGACTTGCACTTGGACCATAGTGCACCCAGTGGAAAAAAAGGTTGAGAACCACTGATCTAATTTTACTCAACAAAAATTACAAACCAAATATTCAAACATTTTGATATTTAAACTGTCACTTTTGAAATGTGAGACTAAATTTGGAATAGCTTATGTACATTAAGAGTAATGTATCCAACTTCAGTCTTGCTTATTGCCACCTACTGGTGCAATAATGTAATATGCAGTTCACTGAACAAATCTCTTTTTTGTGAACAGATTCAAAATATTTGATTCACTGGAAGAAATCAAAAGTGAAGCAAAAATTACTCACCTCTGCCAGAACTGTTATAATATCAGCAGCTATCAGAGAAAAGAAATAAAAGAACTGCTGCTGATATTCTGAACAGCAGTGCCAAAAACCCACATTAGCACCTAGAATGTGTAAATGAACACCTCTGTTAATTATGTCTTATTACTATTGCTTTAATTGCCAACTAAATGCCTTATTTATTCAGCGACACGATGCCAACTGCTAGAATAACTGGGATTTAAGCTCAAAGTGTGATTTCCAAACTCAATAGTTTTCCAGTGAGTCATGCATTTGCATGTTAGTGGGTTTCAATCAGGGCGGTAGCTGCGGCTTCCACAGAAAAACGATGCTAAAGGTTTGTTCTAACACACAGACACATTTTGTAATGCAGCCATATGGCAGATGTTCACAAGAGAGCGTGATAAAGGAGCCAGTCTGCCGTGGCTGTGTCCCACTTAGTTGGCAGGATGAGTACTTCAAGGACAGACGATCTCTTGCACAAACACCGTTCCATCTAGCCATCAAAGTCGCGCAACTTTCCTGTGATGTTGCAGAAAGCCCAGTAAATTACTACCGTAAGCCCCATTACTAGAGCTGATCTGAAAACAATAACTGGAGGCTTCAGGTGAAAAAACACTCAGACGAGGCAAGTTTTCTGTGTTGTTGCTGTATAGAGAGCAAGTAAAATTAATGTAATGCCCCGTTCACAGTGATAGCAGTTTTATCACTGCAGGTCACCAGGTCGCTGTATTGTTGGTCGCTAGTAGGCGTTCATGCTGCTGGATGCCCTAATACCCATAGGATTTGAAAGTATGATCACATAGGAGATCTGTTGATGGTAAAAAAAATAAAATAAAAAATAAGATCCGTTTTGACAAGGAATCAGTTTTTGCTGCTAAAATTCAGGGAAAGTGTTTGTGTAGTATATGGCAGTGAGTAATGCATCATATCATGAACAAGATGAACGATTATCAATAAATGAATCAGACTCACTTAGAATGCAATCATATTGCTGTATGTGGGCAGAGACCAATCATATAGAAGAGTGTAATCACTCAAAATAACATTATGTAAATTGCTAAAATTAACCTTTACCAGAAACACACATTTGTTATTTCTCTACAAGGAAAAATGGACAAGAATTATTGATGAGTTATCTTGCACTGCACAGGTTTTTGTCAGATGAGATGCACTCTAGTATAAGAATGCAATACAGTTTTGGTCACACTTTATTTTAAGGTCCAATTATCACTATAAACAAACTATTAACTATGACTTTTGCCTCAATAAACTCTTTATTACTGCCTATTAATAGTTAGTAAGGTAGTTGTTAAGTTTAGGTATTGGGTAGGATAAGTGCTTTATAAGTACTAATAATCAGTCAATATGTTAATAATAGGCATGCTAATAAGCAACTAGTTAATAGTGAGAATTGGTCCCTATACTAAATTGTTGCCCAGTTTTATTTAAAGAATTTCATACTTTTAATCAGCAAGTATGCTTTAAATGGATCAAAATTGACACTAAAGACTTTTACATCTATTTCAAATAAACTCTTCTCTTAAACTTTTTATTCACCAAATAATCCAGAAAAAAAGTATGTTTCCACAAATAATATTAAGCAGCAACTGTTTTCAACATTGATAATAAGAAGATTTTTTTTTTTTTAAACATCAAATCAGCATATTAGAATGATTTCTGAAGAATTGTGACACTAAAGACTAAATTGCTGAAAATTCAACTTTGCCATCACAGGAATAAATTGCATTTAAAATATTTCCAAATAGAAAACATTTTAGCATGTTATTTTAAATTATATTTCACAATATTGCATTTTTGCAATATTGCAATTTTGATCAAATAAATGCAGCACTGGTGATCACAACAGACTTAAATATGCTAATCAATGTAGTAAAAGAGAAGAATGGTGGAATATTGAAGGAGTAGGTTGATGGAAGGAAAACAATCTTTTCAGTCTTTACAATGGTTGGGTTTCCATGACATTTTGCCTCCTCCCTTGAGTTGGCTCGACTAGTGGTTGGAAAAATCTTATTTTAGTAGTACTGCATTTCCTTTTAAGGGGATGGATAGACCGTAGAGCTGGAAGACTGGCTAGTTCCTTTCATGAGAATAGACCATAATTTATAAAGTGACAGATTATCAATTTAAGCCGCTCAGACTGTAGACCGTAAGTGGGAACTGTAGCGTGTCTTTCACCATGAGTTACCCTAACTGCTCTGTGTGCCCTTCAGGTCTCTTAACCTCTGACATAACTTATTAAAGTCTGCTCCATTTCCCGCCTTTCCCTGGAGAGCGTAAACATCTTTGAGCAAGTCAGAAAGGCCTATGAAGTGGGATTTGGGACCTGGATCAGCTTGGAAGCATGACTGAGACTTGATCTTCAGTCCAGCATCTAAGAAACACTAATCAAAGCATTCCACATCCTGATTTATCACGGCCCCCAGGATGGCCACTGTCCATCTTGGGAAATCATGTCTAAGCCTAATTTTCTCCATTGTGTGCCAGCTGAATAGAAAATCTTCAAAGAGTGTTTTTAGAGATTTAGAGTGGTTTTTTTTCCCCTTCCGTTCTTTCTTCTTTACACCTTTTCTGTTGTTTGTGGAGCTCCGACAGAGGCTTGATGACTTCCTGAAATCCTCAGGGTTCATCATCAGCACCTGATTTCAGTCACTGCTCCATTGTGAGGGAATACAAAGTTACGACGCCCACAATCCAAAGCTCTGTGATGGCTTATGGAAATGAGCGTTATTCAAATTTCTCATTTGTGTGTCGCATAGCAAGTGCCCATCATTTGCCCCATCTAGATGAGCAGACCTACATAAAACATGAGTTGCGAAGCCCTTGGTGTAACAAGGCTGTCATTTCAACCCTAAGAAAGCTGATTGTCTCCTTGGAGGGTTTAAGCTCAGATGTTTTAAAGATTGTGTACGAGTCGGGCCAGATGATTAGAGATGATCTCGAGAACATGGCATCCGCACGGGTTTGTGGGTGTTGTTGGTGCTGATTTGTGGTGTGCGTGATGTGTGACGGCCGCTGGTCATGATGGACACTTTGGTCGTGATCTTCAGTGTAACGGACAGCGCCGACGGAGGTGCTAATGGGTCATGCTTGGTGACAGCGGCAGCGGCCGCTTGTTTCGGCCTCGCCGCTGACAGCTCTTATGCCATCTGACATCTCAGACAGCGCTGGAACCAATAGTCGTGCAGCTGAAACAGACATAACCCTGTTCCTGTTGTACTCTCTAAATATTTCAGCAGTTAAGCAGTGAGAAGAACATTTTCTGCCTGCTTGGATGCTTGACCTGGCTGCTATGGCTGTATAGTTTATTGATGTCTTAAAGGGATAGTTCACCCAAAAATGAAAATTAGCCCATTATTTACTCACCCTCAAGCCATCATAGGCGTATATGACTTCCTTCTTTCAGATGAATGCAGTCGGAGTTATATTGAAAATTGTCTTTGGCAGTCAGCGGTTGTTGCAGTTCATCAGTCCAAAATTAGTGCCTGTGGTTTGTTAAACGTTTAAGACACCTCCAGACCTTTAACAATTTTGTGTACCTTATTTTAATTTAATTTTACCTCTGTGTTTGTGTTTTGGCCTTGAGGAAACCAAACAACTAAAATTAAAAGAGAAAAACGTAAAACTTAATTTATTTCATCTGTGAATAATAGGCTTTGCACTTCTTAATCGTATTTTAGAAGTTTAATTCAAATTCAGTCAGAAGGAAGGAATGTTTTGCAATAATGTCCTTGAATTTTTTTGTTTGCTCCGGATTGTTAAACTCATTTGCTCTGAGCTAAGTATAAGGGATCAACAAAATGAATATTATCTTTATGTTTTGTGGAGCAACAGTGCTTTGCAATTGACAGAACACAATCCAGAAACAGTGAATCTCTGTGATATATTCCCTTGACTCTTGTGCACATGGTTTGAGCATGTGAGCATGCTGGTGATTCTGCTGAACTGTGTGACTCTGGGCATGTTCCAGCCATGTGAGGACCTCAAGTGCCAGTCTGAGTGGTGTGTCGTCCTACAGGTAAGTCTCGCTCCATTATGCAACGAGAGAAAGCTTGTAATGTGATGATGTTTTTTCAAACGCCATTCCAAGATACAGTATTCCATAAAAGCATTTGGACACTTAAAACCGGAGGTATTTCATTGCATTAAATAACATCAAACCATCAAATGCTGCTAGAGCTTTTCTCAGTACTAACTTCACGTCTCTGATGCATTACTTCAAAACAGACTAGTTTCAAGGTGATTTTTTTGTGAATTTATGAAGACGAAGCAGGTGTACTTGCAGAATACTAGGCGTGCTTCATCACATGTTCCACTATGCTCCATGTTTCTTTTTTATCATTTGAAACCTAATGGCATTCATGCATTTTAAGAGTGGATCACGGTTGTTATAGTTAAGTAAAACTGATACTAAAACCATTAAAAATATTTTCGTTACTAGAAATAAATTAAACATTAACTGAAGTAAAAGAAAATATTAAAAAGAAAATATATAGATGTAAAAAAAAAAAGAATAAAAAACAACTAAATTACTTTAAGATTAAAATGGAAAATATAAAAGTAATTAAATCATTATTTAAAATTAATTTAAAATATTAATAGTATCTCAATAAAAATAAAATAAAATTGGTGTGGATTAGATCTCCAAGTACTTTTTTGGGGCCTCTGTACATCAGAATTCATATCATCTCCATTGGTCCTAAAATTATTCCTTACCCTTTATTTTATTATTTTTGTGTCCAATATCTGTTTTTAGGACTGTCTCAGCACAGAGTTGGCGTTTCGCCCATGTTTTGTGGCACGCACAGGTTTAGGGGTCACTGGAACCTTTGCCAGATATCAGAGACTGAGGCATTTTTCTGTAGTTTTGTAATTCTCTGTAATCCTGCCCACGCTCCCACCAAAGTGAGCTGGGTTTATATATGGTACTGTGGGAAATTTTTATGTCCAGAAGAGCCTGACATCAGCATTAGCAGGATTTAGTAGATCGGGTCGGCTGAGGCCAGAGCTGAAAATACTACACAAAATGAATCATAGCTGATCTTCTCACTCTCTCCCTGTAAACTGCTCAAATGGTGCCCAAATTTATATACGCACATTTAAAGTTCTCTGCCCATTTTAAATTTTTCCAGCGACAGGAACAGGAATCTGTACAGAGCCCATAAAAGGACATAGTGATGGGGGGAAAAAAGAGAAGGGAAGAAAAATTATACTTCAATGCTTTTGCATTCTCTCAAAATTTTGCGTTCACCCAAAAAACTTTGCATTCACCTGAAAAACTTTTGTGATGAAAAATAATATGAGGTGGGAGGAAAATCTATATTTCAATGCTTTTGTGCGTGAACTCAAGGTTTCTCAGGGTAAATGTAAAACTTTTGTAATACTTTGCCCCAATAAACTCCTAATTTGCTGCTTATTAATAGTTAGTCAGGTAGTTGTTAAATTTAGGTATGGATACTTCTGCAAAAGAGTGCAATGTTTTTCGAGGGAATTAGTCGAAAAGCAGTACTTTTGAGAGAGAACACTAACATTTTGCAAGAAAATGCCAATTTTTTTTAGGGGAAAGCTAATTTTTTTCTAAGAAAAATCTAGGTTTTTGGGGGAAAAGTTATTTTGCGATAGAGAGCGAAAGATTTGTAAGCGAAAGCAGCATTTATTGAGGGAAGCAAATGCAAAAGCATATATACAGTGTTGGGGAGTAACTAGTTACATGTAACGGAATTTATGTAATTTAATTACAAAATAAATGTAACTGTAACAGTTGCTGAGAACAAATGTGTAATTAAATTACACTTATGAAAATGTTAACGATTCCAAAGGGGGTTACATCTGAATATTTTCACACACATACTGATTTGATTGATTTCTTTCCCAAATTGCATTGACTGCTCTAAAATATGAGACACCAATGTTTCAGGACACAGAATAGGACACATGCTTATTTAATAACTGTTTTTCTTCCTATTTTGGTTTATGTATATGCTTTATTTTTTAAGATTAACTGTTTTTTTTCCCAAGGCATTGTTAGATGCCAGTGTTTCCTGTCATAGCTATGCAAATATTTGATTTCAAAAACAGTATCATAGCTATTAAATTATTTCTTGTTATGATTTTAAATCTGTATTTAACCTCAGAACAATCTCAAAGTAAAAAGAGGTGCTGAAGTCTGATTTTGTGGTGGCTGTGCTTTAAAATGTAATTATTAGCATCTTAGTGATGAAGGATTCTGAAAGTCTGACAGTAATCAGTGTTGAGTACCACTGTAAGGATTATCCTGCCTGGGTTAAATGTTTCAAAATGATAAACATCCGTTAGAAATGTAGAAAAGTAATCAAATGTAATCTGTTACATTACTTTTATAAAGTAGGCTAATTGAAATAGTTACACTACTTCTTACATTTTAAATAGGGTAACTTGTAATCTGTTACCTATTACATTTCCAAAGTAACCTTCACAACACTGTTGATATATAATTGTTTAAATGTAGTAAAATGTCTGTCCTACTATGTAATTGTGTCCACAGGTGTTTGATGACTGCATCTTCGCCTTCTTTGCTGTGGAGATGGTCATCAAAATGATAGCCCTGGGGATTTTTGGATCAAAGTGTTACCTTGGTGACACATGGAACCGCCTGGACTTCTTCATTGTCATGGCAGGGTGAGGAATCCCGCCTTTTTTCTCACTTGTCACGCATGCATTCAACCATTATCACCACGGTAAAGCTGGTCAAGAGGGACCCACCACTCGATTTACAGGCCATCAGTTGGAAAATAGAATTACTGATAGATTTAGATTGGAAAAATAGATTTCCCAGCGCTCTGATTCATTTACCATTTAAAAAAACATTGCCCTTGTTGTTTAAAATGACCTTTAAATTGACAAGAGTGATGAATGCATGAAGACTTCTCTTTTAAAACCTCTTTTCTTTCATTATCCTCATGTAAGATCGACAGAAAGAAAGGTTATAGAGATTGACCTTTAGTGTCTGACGCTTGCAGTATGTTTCCTCTGCTCTGCTTTCTTCAGGATGATGGAGTATTCACTGGACGGTCATAACGCCAGCCTGTCAGCCATCCGGACTGTGCGAGTGCTCAGGCCCCTGCGAGCCATCAACAGAGTGCCTAGTAAGTGTCTGTCATGCTGGGAAATCCAGATAAAATGGGGTATTTATGGTGATTAATTGGTTTGAGATGGTTTATGCGCTTTAAGCTTCTGGAGGTGTTCGGGTCATTTTGACCCAGAGAGGATTTTCTTTTTCCAAAAAATTATGTTATCACACTGGGCTAAAACTTGGTTAAAACTGACCTTGTTCACACAGGGTATGACAACTTCCCAAATTTTTTTCCCACCTTGTTACACTTGTGGTGTTCACAGTCAAAAATGACCAGCCTACAAAAAAAGTTGATAAAATTCTCATTATGCTATATTATCACCAAATATTGGATTCAATCTGGCAGCTTGTTGTTGTTTTTTTCAATTAGGACAGGTTTTGTATTTCTCATTGGAACTGATTGATCATAGGCCTCATTGATCTTAAAAAATTAGCACTGTTTATCGCACAATTGTCCTTTAATGTTTAAACAGGAAGTTTATTTTGAAATGCTTTTATCTTGTGAAAAATGGAACAAAGCCACACTTCCCGGTCAAAAATGACCGGTCTGTAAAAAAATAGCTTTTTTTAAAAGGCCGGTCAATTTTGACTAGGAAAAACAAAAGTGCTATAGGGTTTTCAACATAGCACAAGGGTTAAACATATTTATCAACCAGGTTAATGGAGTCATGAACTGAGAAATCAAAATTCCCTTGATCTTTTGACATATAGGAGGTCATTGTGCTATAATAATTCCTTACATTTATATAGCGCTTTTCTGGGCACTCAAAGCGCTTTACATAGAAGGGGGGGATCTCCTCAACCATAAACTATAAAAACTTTCTGTAAGTTTCAGAACGTTCAGAACTCAGAAGTGTGAGTTACTTTTTTCATTACGTGATCACTATTGCTTTGTCTCTTCTTACAGATCGTTTGATATGTACTGAGTATTTATGCATTTTTAACCTAAATCACAGCAGCCCATCTGTGAAGGATGTAGGCTGTCAAACATACACAACTGTTAACCAATCACAGCAGTGGGCGTTTACTTCTGAGTCTACAATCCGCCACACCTATTCAAGCTAAGCGTTCTGATGAGGGGGGTCAAAAACAGGACAGAAAATAGCCTATTACTTTTAAATTAAGATGTTTTTGATGTAGAAATCCTTATAATATTATAAGTGGACCTCAGAGAACAGTACAAAATAAAAAACAAAGGCAGTTCATGACTCCTTTAAGTCAACTATGTCACGTAGGCTAAGCTGCTTGGGATCCATTGAATAGTCTTACGATTAGTCACATGGCATTTACTGTTCAGTCGATTGGCTTAAAATGTGGCATATTTCAAATCGTACATTTCCAGGAAAATATTTTTCTCCGCTATAAATGTTCTTGCCGGCAACAAACCAGCTACTATGTTCCAAAAATCAGCTTCAACAACCTAAAGGCTGCTATGTTTCCAGCAGGGTGATCTTTAGTAGTGGATGCTGCCTGCCACTCGGAGATGTTATTATGTGTCCTTTCATCGGTGATGAAAGGAGAAAACAGCTGCCTGATCTATGACTTTGGAAGCAGAGATCATCTCAGCCAATCACGTGATGAGCCTGTGTGCAGGAAAGACAACTTACCGAACACACTAGTCCATAAATTACACAGCAGAACATGCCCCACAAACTGAGAGAGGCATATTTCTTCCAGTAATGAGCCTCTGTGTGGTGAACTGACAGTTATGTTTGATCTCTAGATCCTTGTCTATAAGAAAAACAACGAGTTAACGTGTCCCATAAGTCAAAGGCCATATAAAGTTACCATAGTGTTCCCTCTCATTACTGTTAACAGACTTCTACACAGACAAAGGTCTGCTCAAAAGTTTGTTCTTTTCTTTCTGCATTTGATTAACAATACAGTAAACGGTAATATTGAAAAATATTACAATTTAGAATAAATGTTTTCTATTGCAATATATTTTAAATTGTAATTTATTCCTGTGCTGGACGTTACTACAGTCTTCAGTGTCACATGATCCTTTAGAAATCATTCTAATATACTGATTTTGTGCTCAAGAAACACTCTTTATTATTATCAATGTTGAAAACAGTTGTGCTGCTTAATATTTTTGTGGAAACCATAGTACATTTACATTGAATAGAAAGTTCAAAAGAAAAGCATTCCCTAATATTTAAAATCTAAATGTTTTGTAAAATTATAAATGTCTTTACTGTCTCTTTTGTTCAATTTAATGAATTTTGCTGAATCAAAGTACTAATTTCTTGAAAACATACACAGTATACGTACATAGATTTGTAAATGTAGATGTAGGTAGTGTACGTATATAGAAGTGTATGTAGTGAATTTCCCATTTGTTTTGTAAGCATTTTTGGAGAGCAAACATTTTAGTGCACTTGAATTTCGACAGCCATAGAAATGGCAGATTCCCTGGTTAGTGCACTTACTACTAAAGATGGATTGAGACACACCCCTGGAATGAGTTGGAGATTTAAAGTATGAGTAATTCTGCTCCACCACATCAGCTTTAATGACTCTGCTGTTGCCTGGATGGAGGACGAGATACCGTGATTTATTTGTCTCGGTGGAGTGTTGCCGCCAGCAGAAGTGCTTTTAGTATGGAATGATATTACGATTCTCTGGAGTGAATTGTGGCTGTTAGTTGGAGTATATGTGTACGTCTATGTTATTTTGTTATTGCCGACATGCTATTTCACACCTAAAGCTGTAATTCAAATACCAAGCTAGAAATTTTTGCTGGAGTGATTCTCTATCTCTCATCTATCTGTTTACACAAGAGCGAGTTAGCATGTTCATCCACTTCCACTATGTGACCACACGTATCTCTAGGGGGTTCATTAAAGTGTCCGAGCGACGCTGTGGCTCCACACTGTCTTTGGTGGGAGGGATGCAGGCCATCGAGGGGATATCCACACTCAGACAGGCCCATTTAAGGCCTCTTCTCTCCATATCATACACTTTAATTACATCAGCTGCACACACCCACCTCAAGCACATTAGTCACTCGGATCCACCGGATGCATCATTCCTCTCTGGGAGCACTTCTCACGTTGATGTTTGCCGATGTTTTCATGCTTTTTCAGCGAGTGCCTTTATGCTGTTTTTCACCATTGTTGTGTCATCTCAGGAAAGTAGAGTGATAGACAGGACTGATTCATCTGAAATAAGTATGAGTATCTGTAGGTAACAAGGCATTCATTCCGCTTGAGATAGCCTGAACGCTGATGCTCTCGGGCTTATCCATTCTGACAGTTTTAGTGTGTCACTGAACACAGTTCACACCGGTCTGTCTTGATCACTGGGCCATGTGACAGTGACACAGCTGATTTAATTATACATCCATGACTGTTCTTTTGCTCTTTGGTTTGTTTTCTAGGACTGTCAATTGATTAAAATATTTTTGTGATGCATTTCACGTAATCTCACAAAAATGCACAGCGATTTTATAGCAGATTCTGTTTTCCTCAAACTGATTAAAAACAGGAAATGCAAACACTGAATTCAATCAAAATCTGTATAGCTTTAAATAATAAAATAACTTTATGGACTCGCCGCACCCTGTCACATGCTTTATAGAATTTAGAAAAATTATTTCCTGCTGTCCTCTACCAACATAGGCTCATTGGAAAACATGCTTCTACCTACATTTTTGCTAAGTTTCCAGCTGAAACAAACACTCGTAGCAATAAAACACCAACAACATGTATTCCTTTTCACACAAATTATTACAAGGGCAGATGAAAAATGAATGAAGACTTATTTCCTGGTACAATGCTCTGTTGTGACCTCAAAACACTTTATTTTATAGTGCATAATTTGTAAACTGATACATTGATGTAGTAAACTTGCTCGTTAGCCCACCTGGTACAGCGTTACACTTGCATTGTGGTGAATTCAGGTAAAAGTCCTGTGAAACATGAGTCATGACACTTGATAAAAGAGCTCAAAGACTTGTAGAAGCAAACTAAAATGTCCTGGTTGTGTTTTATCTCACTTTTACTTTTGTAAACAATACCGGTTTAGGGTAGGTTTAGTGTACATTATTACGTTATTTTCAAACATGATAAAGCACTAACCTTTTATATTATAACCTTTTATTCTGATAATTCATTTCAGAACTGCCATAATATGCTCAGCAAACAACAATGCCAGATTGATGTTCATCCCTTAGATAAACTGTGTTTTAGCAGCGCTAACGAGATTTTTTGAAAGTTTTGCAAAGTATTCAAGAAGCAACGAAATATAATTTTGCCTAAATGTTGCCACAGGCACATTTTTACAGTAAGCCTTGGTTGCCTCTGATGGTCTTCTCATTAATATTTGTCCAAATGACATTTCACTTCTACAGCCGGGAATATTTTTTTGACATTTCACATTGACAATATACTGTATACAATAAGTGAGACTAAATTGTCAATTCATAATAATTTTTTAATCAATGTTAAATAATATATTCTAACATAAAAGAGTGCAAACAGTTGTTTTTAGCAATACCACTGAAAAGTATAAAGCAGTTATAGTCAGATTTAATGTGTTAACTGTTAAAAAATAACAGCATTAGACTAATTCATTGAATCACATACATTAATGTGATAACTTTGACAGCCATGTTTGTATTCTTTAGAATAGTATCATTTTTAGCTGCCTGAAAGTTCTGATGTGAGTTTATATTAGCATGGGAAATACATTCCTTAAGCTTTTCCTATTATGGTAGTTCTCAGTTGTACACTAGAATTCTGTATCCACTCAAAATGTGAGGGTTTCTTGCCTGTGCGAATCTCGCTTCCACAATGCTGCTGTAGGGTGTTGCCAGGGCCTTGTGTTGTGGTTGATAAAGTGGTCTGAGTGATTGTTAGCACATTGCTATGTGGTTGCTAGGGTCTTGCTGTATGGTTGCTATGGTGTTCTGAGTGGTGGTTAGCTTTTATCAGTGGTAGTGGAAACCTGCAGTGAGGGATAATGGGAATGGGCATTTGTTCAGTGGTTTAAGTCTTATTTTTCCATTAAAGTCTGACTCAGTCAGTCCCTGTGGTCCATCAGCAGTCCATTTAAAATATGCAATTTCTGTGCTCTGTCAAGCATTATGACAAGTGGGACCGATTTAGGTTAAAGGTGTCGTTCTACAGTATAACCTAAGATTTTCCATTTCATTATATACACTGTTAAAAGGAATATTTCTTATATTAACTTAATTTAACTTAAAATTTGCCTTAAGTAAGATTAGTTTATGTCAGTTTTAATTTGTTCATTCACTAAATGCAAAATGACACATTCAGACAACAATTTCATCAAAGCAACTACAGATTTTTTGTTCAACGAATTTTCAGTTAGGAACACAATAAACTGATCTATGGTTTTGGTAGCCAGCAAAAGTATCTGAGATATAGTTTAATTTTTTTTATATTTGACTAATTTGGAGAATTCTGTTGGTCTAACATGTTTTTTTATGTAGTTTCAAGTAATTCACACTTCAGTATTTGTGAAGTGGAAAATATGTAGTTCTTTCTTTCTTTCTTTCTTTCTTTCTTTCTTTCTTTCTTGTAGTTTAGTGCTTCACTAGTAAAAATAATGTATAAAACCATTAATGTGTCCATTTGACAGTTAGATATAATTTGATATCAAAATGGCTAAAATCAAATGCACATTTATTTTTCACAATATTTACTGAAAATTCCTTCAAAAATATTATGAAAAATGTCTATGTCAACTTGGCAATTGGTACATTTTAATATAAATACAACACTGTTATTGGTCAACAGTTATCAGTCGAGTATGATAATCTTAAAGTATTGACTCATTAATCCATATACTTGTCTGTCAGCTATTTATACTGGTACTTTCAAAAATGAAGCATGTTATGCAAACCATAAAAGCAGTATGGAGTAAGCACACAACAACTAAAACGGTGTTGCGTCTGTGTTTCTGTATTTCAGGTATGAGGATACTGGTGACTCTGCTTCTTGATACTCTGCCTATGTTAGGCAACGTCCTCCTGCTGTGCTTTTTTGTCTTCTTTATATTCGGCATTGTCGGGGTGCAGCTGTGGGCTGGACTTCTTAGGAATCGGTGTTTCATGAAAGATAACGTGAAAGCGTAAGTACAGTCCTGCTCTTATCTAACCGGCAGCTTTCTTCCCCTCTTCTCCTCCTTTACCCTCTCTCCGCTGGAAGCATGTCAGCGCTGCCGATATGATCCAAAGTGGCAGCCAACTGTTTCCAGAAGCAATGGCATCTCAGCCGCTGACAGTCTTGTAAAGTGAACATTGCACCCTGGCATAAAATCAGTGCTGAGCATTGATCCCCGAGCACTGAAGGTACACACACCTCCAACAAAGGTATATGGGTAAAAGCGTATTAAATGAAAAAAGCCTTGAGAGGCTTTGATGAGTGCAGACTGCAGTCGTCAAAATGAGTTGAATTATAAGTCATATATTTTGATGTAATGGTACAAAGTACTGCTCTCAGAATGCATGTGTTTTGATGCTAGAGCAACAACATTTTCACCTGCCAGGTCTTATTTAGAAATATGAGCCAGTGAAATGCCCCATTCTGAAGTGTTTTTATGAAAGTTATTTTATTGAGTATAAAATTATATTATATTATATTGACCTGGATCAGCCTTTACATACATACAGTTGATTTAATTTTTTGTGTCATCTAGCAGTACCATTTGTGACATGATATTCCCAAACTCTCTGTGGTATTTGTTGTTTTAATAAAAATGTTTAACCCTCATGTTCTATTTTGAATTTAATTTAATTTTCCTGGGGGCTCCAAGTACCCCAGTTGTGAAATTTCCCTCTAAAACATAATTCTGACCTGATTATAACCTATTAGACAGATGGATCAATGATGAGTAAGAGTTTGCATGAAAAAGAAAAGGAAACATCTTTAAAAAACTAGTTTAAAACATATTTCCTTGGTTTTGAAAAACGTTTGTACCATTTTCAAACTAAAATTTAATAACTCTAAAAATGTCATGTGGTGTAACCGTAATAAACTGTAATTTTCCTCACGTCTTGAGTACATGTGAGTGTTTACATCAATATCATTATTTTCAAAAAAAAGATTCATAGAAATTTATAGATATCCAGTTTTAGGGGAGTGGCACCACTTGACATTTTACAAGCTGCACCAGCCTTGCCTTGTCATAAAAAGGGTCAAATTATCTGATATTTTAAGACACTTACCGACCTTGACACACAGCCACAGGGGGTCCTCTCATGTAAATGACTCATGTAAAGATAAGGAAGATGCTGTGTGGTCTCTGAGCATATAATGTGTGTCTGTTTTAGTAAGTAAATGCCATATATTCCACATTGTTTTCCATGTGTTTCCACAGCCTTTATAATCTGTCACACATGAGTCCGTACTACATGAATGAAGAAGGTGAGGACAACCCCTTCATCTGCTCCTCCAATAAGGACAATGGCATGCTGCGCTGTAGTCAGGTGCCCCCCCTCAAGGAGGGTGTTGAGTGCACTTTAATTGCATCTCCACCGGGACATGCCTACTCTGGCCTGGATGGGACAGGCAACAGCAGCTGTGTTAACTGGAACCAGTATTACAGTGAGTGTAAGCCCGGGGAGCTCAACCCACACAAAGGGGCAGTGAACTTCGATAATATTGGATATGCCTGGATTGCGATATTCCAGGTAAGTTCCTCTTGGAATGTTGTTTGCAATCCAGATAATTTCCATGTCGCTGATGGTCTTTTTGTTGATCGCTGTGGGAATGGAAATGCATTAGTAAGCGTCATTGTTCTTTCCCTAAAGTCAAAGGCCCTAGTTATTCCAAAGATATATGAGGCTTTTTACAACTTTTTATTACTCGATTTTCATCTTGAACGGACAAAGTCTTGTTAAGCACGCTCCAACCACACCAAATAATTGAATCTTCTCTGAGCAAATGTCTGCTTTAGTCATTTCTGCCCCTTGCTCAGGAGGAGCTCTGCAAAGTGATGAGATTTTTCGATGGGAATGTGATATCTTATATCGCAGCCTGTGGAAATTAAATCAGAAAAGAAAAGGCTTCCCGTCGCATATTAACTTGTCTGTACTTTCAATCAATCCTCATCAGCAGAGTTGAATCACCACAGACAGACTGGTGGCACAAACCCTGTTTAAGCATATTTAATATGCGCAGTCATGCCCTTATTGGAGGGGCGCGTTGGGCCCGTCGTACGGACATACAATGAGACCTGTCCTCCTTCTGTTGGAAATGAATGTCAGTCTCATTTGTCCGATCATTACAAGTGGGTCAGTCACGTGGTGTCCCTTTTGGCTGGGTTATAATGACAGTACAGGCTATGCAATTATAAAAGAGGGCCTGAAGGGTTTTCACCTGTGTCAACATAAGATCTTAATAGGACCTGGATTGTACTCATAAGATGACACCTCCGGGAGCAGGTTATTCTAAAATAATGTCTCTTCACCTAGTGGCACTTTTATGGCCAGATAGACCTTTTTTTTCTTTTTGTTCTATAGTGGTTACTATAAAATGGAAACTTTATAGCATGCCATCATTTATTTTTGTCCCAGATCCAGACTTTCAGTCTTAAAAAAAGAAAATCCATTTTACAGCCTTTTAAATTGTAAAACAAAGAGTAAAAAATTTATTGTTAATCATATTTTAGGGTTTAATGATTAAACAATTATTTTGTGAAAATTTATTTATATCTTCTACACAAATTATTAGCATTAGCATATTAGCACTGGAGCTATCAAAATAGGGGCAAGACCCTTTTGGGGTAGGGGCGTGTTTGTTTTGGTGATTTCAAATATCAACATTGGCTACCAGAAATCACTTACTCTGCCTTTAATGTACTTGGTGAGAAGCATGTTTGAAATGACATGAGACATTGTGTGTGAAGAAAATTAATAAAAATCAAGGTAAATTTCACTTCTGAACAGAATATTTTTGTGAATAATTTCAAATCAGGTAATTTTTTTTATTATGTTAAGAGTTTGAAAATATTAGTTAAATTGACCCTTCGCCTGGAGTTTGATTGACATGTGATCTGACCAATCATAACGCCAAATCTGCCATTTTTGTCTGACAAACAAATCAGACAGAAGAGTAGATTAATGTCGGTGGACTTGAACTTGAAAAACGGTGTATTGACGTCTTTCCACGGTTGACACAAGATACCTTCTGATGTTCATTCATGTTTATTTCACGCTATAACAAGTAAAGAGGAAGAGATGATTGGTTCACGTGCCGCTTGAACTAAGGCGCTACAGCGATCTGTCACTACACATTAAAGAGCCACAAAATGGTATTTATTGTTTGAATTTCTTACAAAATGGCAAAATTTGGGGGGCAGGTCTTTGTGAAGGGTCAATTGTGTGTATTTTGGATGCATAAAGTGCTAGCTATGAAAGCTTAGCCAGGAGCTGGCCATCCTCAAAGTGTTAAAATTGTCATTTTCATTCAATTTTCCATCATAGAATGCTATAAAGCATACTGTAATGCATTATTTGAGGTGTGGTGGAAATAGCCCTGTGATGGGCATGTTCATGGCTTTCAGAAAATATGACAAAAATTACAGAATTCTCCCGTGATGCAGGTTTGTTGGGCAGTGTTAGTGGACAAGTTAAACTAGTGAGAGTGTTTTAAGAGTTTCTTTTCTAAAATTCCTCTTGGCCAAAAGTGCATGTAGCTGAAGAAACACCCACATAAGGAAATATTCAAGAATATTAGTGCTGTAACCAGCTGAAAACAATCCAACTCACAAGTTTTTGTTAGTCTGACATCCATTAAAAACTGAACCCAACTGGACTCTTAAGCAATATTTTAAAATTATGCTTGGTATGGCTGTAAAATAAATCCATAATAAATTATGTAAAAATGTGTGTCTAGCAGTAGTTGCATTTACAAAATGTAAATGTGGATAAGTTTCGAATCAGCTGTTTTAAAGCCAACTGTGTGGATGCACTGCGGAAATCGAAAAAGAAGACTCATGTTTTTGTTTTTATGTGAACAACAGAAATGTATCTCTTTAAATACCAAAATGTATGTTTTCTAGAAGCAGACAATGAATCTAGTAGACAGCATAGAAAGAACTGGGGTTCAAACATGAGGTCTAATGCTAAATGATACAGCTGGATGAGAATGAAATGCTGTGCTGCAGGCGCAGAGCTTCCAAAACAAATGACTCAATGCTAACAGACTTAACCCTGCACTACTACGTTTACTGCGATCAAACTAACAATCAGACCTCTGGCATCACTCTGTGCCATGAACTGTACTCTGCTGTATTTCTGTCTGATTTATATGTCATTAGTACTTTGTGTTCACTGGAGAGTATTTATCTCCTAAAACATTTCAAAATGAATCCCTAGATGATGTGAAGAAGTATTACAATTACAAGAGCTTTAGTGTCTAACACTTTGTGTTCAAGATACAAATTAGAGACGCCTTTGATCTGAGTGTCTAAACTAAGGTAACTGATTGAAACTTTACCTCAGGTCAAGGTGCATTAGCAGTGCTCTACATTTGAATGTGTTTAACTCGTTTATCATTTATTATTCAAAAACCTGCAGAAAAACAATAGGCTAAACTTGCGAGGCTTTTCATTCCCTAGACGAACTCTCAAAACTCAGTGTTTGAGCCACCAGCCATCTGCATGGTTAGAAATGTGAGCCAGGCACCTGAGACTGCTATTCTTCTTGGCCAAGATCAAGATAATGATCATTTGAATCTTCTGTCTCGCAGCATTTTATCTTCATTTGATCTCAATTTCTCTTCTGTTTTTGCAGGTTATTACTTTGGAAGGATGGGTGGACATCATGTATTATGTTATGGATGCCCACTCCTTTTACAATTTTATATATTTTATATTGCTTATTATAGTAAGTATACTCTAATTGAAAGTATTTCATGTTTTTAGCCTGTTTCACACCGCATACATGAGTAGAGTAGAGCAGCAGCAGGCAACTGCAACATGCAGTGTAATTTCTGTGAACTTAATATCAGGGTTAGACATAATTCATTCTTTAATTCAGTTTATGGGTTTGAAACGAAGTGCTACATCCTTCAGGAATTTAAATTGGAATTACAGGAAATGGAATTTACCGAATTACAATTCAGACAGATATGGCATTCAAGGGAATAAAATGTTCCTCAGCCCTGCTCTGTTAAATAATAATTAAATGTATGCATGTACAGTATGTAATGTATATATACAGTGGGTACGGAAAGTATTCAGACCCCCTTAAATTTTTCACTCTTTGTTATATTGCAGCCATTTGCTAAAATCATTTAAGTTAAATTTTTTTTCCTCATTAATGTACACACAGCACCCCATATTGACAGAAAAACACAGAATTGTTGACATCTTTGCAGATTTATTAAAAAAGAAAAACAGAAATATCACATGGTCCTAAGTATTCACACCCTTGGCTGTGACACTCATATATTTAACTCAGGTGCTGTCCATTTCTTCTGATCATCCTTCAGATGGTTCTACACCTTCATTTGAGTCAAGCTGTGTTTGATTATACTGATTGGACTTGATTAGGAAAGCCACACACCTGTCTATATAAGACCTTACAGCTCACAGTGCATGTCAGAGCAAATGAGAATCATGAGGTCAAAGGAACCGCCTGAAGAGCTCAGAGACAGAATTGTGGCAAGACACAGATCTGGCCAAGGTTACAAAAAAAAATTCTGCTGCACTTAAGGTTCCTAAGAGCACAGTGGCCTCCATAATACTTAAATGGAAGACGTTTGGGACGACCAGAACCCTTCCTAGAGCTGGCCATCCGGCCAAACTGAGCTATCGGGGGAGAAGAGCCTTGGTGAGAGAGGTAAAGAAGAACCCAAAGATCACTGTGGCTGAGCTCCAGAGATGCAGTCGGGAGATGGGAGAAAGTTGTAGAAAGTCAACCATCACTGCAGCCCTCCACCAGTCGGGGCTTTATGGCAGAGTGGCCCGACGGAAGCCTCTCCTCAGTGCAAGACACATGAAAACCCGCATGGAGTTTGCTAAAAAACACCTGAAGGACTCCAAGATGGTGAGAAATAAGATTCTCTGGTCTGATGAGACCAAGATAGAACTTTTTGGCCTTAATTCTAAGCGGTATGTGTGGAGAAAACCAGGCACTGCTCATCACATATAGATATATATATATATGTGTGTGTGTGTGTGTGTGTGTGTGTGTGTGTGTACATATTAAAATTTATATAGGTGACATTACAAATAGATCTGTTTGTCAGTGTTATATTATTTAAAATTCAGAATTGAGAATGCCTTTGAAAATTACAGCTTGATTCCTGAATTGAGCAAAATATACCTAAATATACACTACCATTTAAAAGTTTAGGGTAGGTAAGATTTAATTAATTTTAATTCATATTTGTATTCAGCAAGGATGGATTAAATTGACTAGATATGTGGGGGCGTGTTAGAACGAGCCGTTTTAGGCAGGCGTGGTTGACTCTTAACTTTTATAAAGAATATCTCTTTGGATTTGAGACTTTAGTCTGCAACTTTTTCAGATCTTCTTTATGCACCAAGAGCTTGTAACACTCCAAAGAGAAAGGAAAAATTTAAATCGCATCATATGACCCCTTTAAAACCGACATTTATATTGTTGCAAAAGATTAAATTAATGCTAATTTTTGAACCTTCTATTCATCAAAGAATCATGAAAAAATTAATGGTTTCCACAAAAATATTAAGCATCACAACTGTTTTTGACATTGATAATAACAAGAAATGTTTCTTGATTAGCAAGTCAGCATATTAGAATGATTTCTTAAGGATCGTGTGACACTGAAGACTGGAGTAATGATGCTGAAAATTCAGCTTTGCCATCACATTTTAAAATTATATTACATTTAAAAATATATTAAAATGGAAATTTTTAATTGTAACAATATTTCAGAATATAACGGTAGTGTATACAGTATGCGCCAATTACATGTACGGTGTAAACCAGGCATTAAAGAGATTCTTTAAAGACTTCTTACGTTAGCTCATGATGATAAACTAAAGTGGCTTTTGTGTGTCTCAGGTGGGTTCCTTCTTCATGATCAACCTGTGCCTGGTTGTAATAGCAACCCAGTTCTCAGAAACAAAGCAGCGTGAGAACCAGCTGATGCAGGAGCAGCGAGCACGTTACCTCTCCAACGACAGCACCCTCGCCAGCTACTCTGAGCCGGGGAGCTGCTACGAGGAAATGCTCAGGTACATCAGCCACCTGTACCGCAAGGTGAAGCGCCGTGCTTCCCGCATCTACAGCGGCTGGCAGAGCAAGCGCAGAAAGAAGGTGAACCCCAACAGCGGGCTGAGTGGGGGAGGAGGAGGAGGCGGCGGCGGGGGGGCCAATGGTCACAGCAGGCACAGGGGTGGCGGACATTGGGTTCGCTCCATCCACAACCTCATCCAACAGCACCAACGGCAGCACTGTCACCTCAGCAATGGCAGCCCCAGTCCTGTGACCGCTACGGGGCCCGGCGAGGCTCTGGAAATGAGGTCCATCGCAATGGGGCCGCAACTGACCGTGTCCTCACAGCCAACCGCCATGCACAATCTTTCTTCCAGGACCCAGTCAGTGCACAGCATTTATCAAGGTGACTTTCAGGAGGCCCCGCAAGGGCGAACGAGCACCGCTGTGGGTGTGCCGGCGCTCGGGCGACTAAACAGCGGGATGAATTATCCGACCATCTTGCCCTCCCTCATTTGCAGCTATACAGGCAGCAGTTCTGCAGGGAAAGGAAGGAGGGGGTCGGATGCAAATACGGGATGTGATGCGATTGATCCCTTTGAGAAGCTGCACCAGCTCATGGGAGAACATAGTGAGTTTTTCATAGCCATTGTTTCCACTTCATATCAGGTCCAGTTGTAGTCACCTCACATAGCCTGTTTCAGGATAATGAAAGGCGTTCTGAGAAGTGATTGTTAGGCAGCCCTTTACCAATGTGACAGAAAATCAATACTTCAAATGTTAAAGTCATTAACACAATCTTTAAAGGAGTGAGGCGACTGCCAGCACTCCACTAGCAACTGTGGCTATCAAGCACTTTGAAATCTTATGCCAACATTTGATTCCTCTTGTCAGAAGGATAGGCAGTAAGCTTACTCTGTGATTGGAGGGAAAATATCAGTTGGCTTCCAATGATCTCATCTGCTGGGGTTTCTAGGTAAGCAGTAACCAGAAACCCAAATATAAAAATCCTCATTCTAAACCCATATAACTTCTTTTTTTAATTTAATTCACCTTTGCATACATTCAATTATGCGGTCTTAGGGCATCAGTGATGCCAAATGTCACTTGCTGGATATCTATACAACTATTTTAAGTTAAAATGTTTAATTTGAAAACTTGAATGGAAATATTCTCTCAAAGTGTTATGCACTAGACTGAGGTGAATTTTCTTGAGTTTAATGCCAGAAAAGTCAAAATGCACATTGAAGTTGTGTTTTATTTTATTTATTTATTTATTGTATAAAAGATGGGTTTTGACTATTTGGGCATAGAATATGAGGCAAGATGCTGGACATGGAACAAAAAGGAGTTTTCTTTTTTTACTCCAGAAGTCAGAAGTTATATGTCAACTAGTGGCATTCATTATGTGAGCTGTTTTACTCATTCTTCTGGCAAATTTTCTGAAATACGCTTTAAAAATGTGAAAAATTTGGTTGGAGACAGCAACTGGCTCTTGTGCATTTTGTAAGCAATTGTGACGTGTAGATAATATGACTTAAAAGATGGTTTACTCAGAAACTTTTCATCGATTACTCAACCTCATGCTCTAAGATTGTATGACTTACTTCTGTGGAACATAAAATTATATATATTTTATAATATAGCTTTTTTTATTGTCCATACAATGGAAGTCAATGGTAACCATTTAGTTTCAAGTATAATTCAAAATCTCTTCTTTTGTGTTCTGCAAAAGAGCAAAAGTCATAAAGGTTTAGAATGTCATGATGATGAATAAATGGTGACAGAATTTTCATTTTTGAGTGAATTATCCCTTTAAAATATGGCCTGTTCCTCACATAAAGTTGTTTCTCACATAAAAGCTTCAGAAGTCATGGAAGATGACAGAAAATGAATTTTGTTGTATTATCCCTTTAAATGTGTAACACTTCAAGGCATTACAGTGACAAATTTACCGCGGGGTCCCAGTACTGTATATGTTTGGAATGAATGAGTAGAATGTAGTGCATTTGGTTTTGCGTTAGGTTGTTTGTTCAGCCCCAGATAACCAAGGCATTTCTTTCATGCTCAAGCCAGTTTTAATTTCTATATCAGTCTGTTGCAGAATGACTATTTGTGGGTTTCTGTCAACAGGAATATGTACTGCATGTTTACTTCAAATTCACTGCCTCTGCCAACAGTAATTTTTGATTGCAGCTTGAGTCACCTCCACTTCAGCTCATTACCACAGGCTAAAGTGGGCCACTGTGAATGATTACGTCCTCAGGCAACACATTAGTATAAGAGTACAGCCACAGACATCCTCTGATTAGACCGATTAGTTTTATTTAAGATTGTGAGATCAAGAGAGGGTGAAGCACTTGAACAGAACACATAGAGCACTGCCTATTTTTCATGACCATGGCTAGATAAGTAAGCTACTAGACTAATAAACTAGCTGAAGTAAGCGGTTTTATTGGCTTGACTGCTAAAAATGGAATTAGGTGTCATAATTCAAATAAGCAACCTTACAATAAACATTAAGTTGGTTGTGGGATCTATTGATGTTTGAGTTAGACGCCAGATAGAGTAACTCATGTGAATGATTTAGACATGCACAATCAGTCCCTCCTGAGAGATGTCCTCAATTCAGAAGGAAGTAATGCACAAGAGAAACAGACAAATAAGCCTTCAGTGTTGGGGAATGTTACTTTTAAAAGCAGAATGATTACTAATTAAGTTACATTGTTACTTTGTATGCAAAAGTACCATTTGGCAAATGCTTCATTTACAAAAGATGCATCATAAAGCAAATGCAATACTTTTGCGTTTCCTAATTGCATTGACTAATTGTTGACTAACTGTGTTTTTTCCCATGTAGGCCACAGTCGTGTGCTGCTGCAGATGGCTGGTGTGGTGCCCAGTCCACTGCTTCTTGAGCTCCTGAGCTGCCCGTATTGTGCAAGGGCCCTGGAGACCATGGATGTGGAGCTCGGTGATTCAGACTACTCCAGATCAGAAGGGGACGTGGTGTACGAGTTCTCCCATGGAGCAGAGTTCAAACCCTGCCGTGCATCCCATCATAAAATCCTGGAGGAGCGTAACCGCCTGGCTCAGTACTGGGATGACTTCCGGGACAGATTGATACGCATAGTAAATAGCAAATACTTTAATCGAGGAATTATGATTGCCATCCTCATCAACACCTTGAGTATGGGCATTGAATACCATGAGCAGGTGAGTGCAAGTGTGGCTTCTTTAATGAATAGCCTGATTTTTCATCTGCTACTGTCAGACAGGACTTATATTACTTTAATATTGATTGGTGGTCAGGAAAAACAAAAGGATGGTTGTTATAAAGACTGCTTGTAAGGAAACAAAGCAATAAAACAGACCATATCATAACATATTCCTCATCAGAATTTCATGGGTGGTATGCACTGGGATTAGCTTGCTATTTATTTTTCATTCAGAAACAGTGATGAGGATTCATAGCCTTATTGGGTGAACAGATCTCCTGGTTATATAACTGTGTTGTGCTGCAGTGCCTCGGACTGCACTTCTATCTCTCCTTGCTGTGTTGTTTCAAGTTGCGATGTTTCCACTCTTGGTTTCATACCTAATCCTGTGGTTTGACATTTAGCCAATCAGATAGAGTTCTCGCAGTAAGAAATGTGTGTGGATGCTTGATATCATATAAAGTGGTTACAGTACATTTTCTGCTGCTGGTATTGTGTAGAGGAGTCTTGTGTATAAACTGAATACTTTTTATGAGTGGAAATTAAACATTTACTGACATTGTTGTATAATAAATAAAATAAATACTCAATCTTGGATTAACAGTAAGAATGGCCCGATGGCCTACTTCCAGGATTTCAGCCAGTTGATTCGAGTGCCAAGAAACATGCATTTTATGTCTTGCAAACGTGAACATTTGGTATTCTGTAATGTACTAATTGTTAGAAATTCTGCTAATTTAAATCTCATTAAAATTTCTGACACAAATGAGGCTGTCTAAGGAGCTGACAAAGTCTTAGAAGTATCAATTAGGAATAGTTGACAATTTTCAAAAAAGTTAAAGAACACCGACGCAACATCTTATTTCCATAATGACCAGCGCAATCTACCAAGGCCAGTGCAATGGGCAGGGCAGGTAAAAAAAAAACTGGCTCAACAAGGCCAGCAGAAAAAACATTCCTGCTCAATGTACTGTAAATTGCACTAGATTTGATAACTGCACTGTGGGTAGTACTTGTATGAAATTAAATATTGTAACTTTGCTAAAAGGCCATTTGGAGAGCGATTGTTGTTGAAATAATGTTTAGCAGCTCTGGTAGAAATAAGGTTCAGCTGCACCTTGCGGTGTCACACTTGACTTTACATCATTGAAAGAGCAATATTCACAATTGGAGGTAAGTACGCTAATAATAGATCTGAACAAACCCTTTTATCCTACATTTAATTATGTGTGATTATATATGATTGATTGGTTGCTCTTTGACTAAAGCATAGCTTATTGAATACCAATGTGGGTCCTAGGTAGCACGTCTGCTTCTGAAGTAAAATCTTTAATCGTTATGCTACTTTAAAGAACAGCTCATGTTGTCTAATTAAGCCAAGACACATAATAGGGATCTTTTAATCCTTATTTCAGAAGCAGAAGAGGTGAAAATAGTTAGCAGACATTTGTTATGGTGATTTGGGGATTTGGAGACCTCCTTGCATAGAAATTCTTAGGTCTGTTTTTAAAGAATTAACATAAATTCTACAGTAAAATGATTGTTATTTGAGCTGTAAAGTGTCTTTTGAGGTGAGACTACTTTTAGAGGTGGAAGAACTTCTTGTGATTGTGTTACCAATAGTGCTGGGCGGTATGACCAAAAATTTATATCACGGTATTTTTCAAAATTATACCGGTTTCACGGTACAAGACGGTATTTTTTTTTCATGCATGACCAGGTGTTAACCATATTTTCTACTTCATAACAAAAATAAAAACCGGTATTCGGTATGAACCGGTATACTGCCCAGCACTAGTTACCAATATCATTTCTGTGGGTAAGGTTTACAGAGTTCCACAAATAAATCAATGTATGGGAAACACTGGTAATGTATATCGAAATATCGGAAATGTGTTTAAAAATCATATCACCGTTATTGAAAAAAATTATATCGCGATACATATTGATATTGAATTATTGTCCAGCCCTAAGTTCCTGTAAACAGTGTTTTTGAGTTATGTTTTTTTTTTTTTTGTATGTCTGATAGTTTTAAGCATCTATTTGTGATGCTGCTTGCTTGTTGGCTAGTCTTTCATTATATGTTTATTTACATTAAATGTGCTTCCCGTATTAAATTGTTGTCGACATGTCACAAATACGGTCCATTATGGAAAGCTGTTTCCATTTCAGAGTAAAACAAAAAGGTTATTGCTACTTTATATATCACAACTGAAACTTTATTTACTGACATTTTGACTTTATTTCTTGTTATTGCAAAATAAATTATTTCCCAGTGTGGCTTTATATCTCACAATATAACTTTATCTCAAAATGTTACTTTATATCTGACGATATAACTTTAAATTTCACAATTGTGACTTTGTTTTTTCTCAGTTACTTTTTTATTGTTTCCTCTGATTTGGAAACAGGCTTTCATAGTCCACAAGCACTAAATAAAAAAATAAATGTAACTGCAAAAAATTGCCTGCAGTTAATACTTTGCACAATGTGATAGACAGGTTGTTTACGGAGTAATTGCCATTTACTTAAAATCAAATGGTTCAAGGCTTATCCATATAGGTGTTTGTTACTGTACTGCCAGCTATTGGAATACACTGTCGCCATAGTAGTTATTGAGGGAGGATTACAGGAATGAGATAAGGCTGGCTGCATTGATCTATGTACTGAATGCTTTTAGTATCTCAGCAGAGTCTCTGCACTCTCGAGTCAATCAGCCACCTAATCGGATTTACATGGGGCCACTGACAGTCTTCATTACTGCATCAGTCAAAGTCACTTCACAGAGGCTACGCCACTATTCACCCCATCACCGAAGACTCACGCATGTCTCCACTGCACATACAGTTATTTCACTTTGATAAATGATAGACATGTTCATTACCTCTGAGGCTGAATAGCTCACATGAAGTACTTTTGGGAAGTGGACACATCCTTGCAGTGAGATGTACCGTTCTCCTTCTAAAAGTATTTTGAAGCCGTTTGTATGGCATTTGTTGGCTGATTCTCGAGAAGGTGTAAACACAATGACTCTGTGGGTTTATCAAAACATTCCTCTGTTTGTTTGAACATCCTGACCAGCACAACATAGTAACAGTGGCTCAGCCAATGGCATGAGTTTAAGACGGGGCTGTTTGTTTCTGTGACCAATGGCAAAGTGATAGTTTTTAATGGCAATAGTTTTTTTTTTTTGTATATTATTATTCTTGAAGCTTTCCTGTTATGGACCCTTTTCACAAGACTGTGATGACGCGTTTAATGGTAATCAGCATCGTAAATCCTCGAAAGTTTTTCATACTTGTATTTAAAAAAAAATGTATCTACGTTTATAACACTATTCTTTGTATTATATCACCTTTGCATCAAATTACAAAAAAACAGTTAAGGCTAATGCGAGGGTGTTTCTAATGCAGTGTCTATGGGAGGGATGGTAAATTTGACATCGTTCTCTCTTCTGACTGCCGTTATCAGTCTCAATTTTTTCCTTTTATTGAAAGTCATGAAAACACTATCGTGGAGTTTTTTCTTTTGCTATTTGAATGCAAAAAATATATTTGTGGTGCTCTCCCATTCACTGCTCTTCAAGTTTACCCAACTATGACGACTTCCGCTGCTGAGAAACCCGGAAATGTGAAAAAGGTCCATTGTATTAATTGAAAGACTACAATGAATATTTATGCCTTTAAAAAATTATTTTGCCAAAGTGCAGTGTGTATCACCAAAAAGTTTCTAAACTTCAATAGTTTCCACTCTTCATTAGTTGGTTAAACCCCTAGCCCCGCCCCAAACTTAGACTTTTGGTTAAGCCAGTCTTTTTATGTCTAATCAATTTAGCTGAATAATAAACTAATTTCAAGTGAATAATGTATTCTGTAGTATGGAAGCCTGTTTCCACCACTGAATAAAAAATAAAGGTAATTGTGTTTTTTTATCTCACAATTCTGATGTTTTTTTCTTGCAATTGCGAGTTTACATCTTGCAATTCTGACTTTTTTTTTTTTTTGAAAGTCGAGTTTTTCTTTGCAAAGCAGATTATGTTTATTTGAATATTTGTTGGATTTGTTTGATGAATATTAGCACAAAATTCGCTCCATATAGTCGGGCTGCTCAAACAAATTGCAATTCAACTTGATGTCACTAGAGGCACAAAAAATTAAACGCTTTAAAGGTGCAGTAGGAGATCTTGGAAAATGCTAACTTTAGCCTGATAGCACTGAACGCGAACGTCCCACCCTCCCTACAAATCGCCGTTCAAAGCCACGCCCCCTGGACGCATATACACACACAAATCAGACGATCAGAGACAACATTACTACAATACATCATGTGTCATTCACCGGTGAGAAAACTTTAAAAGTACTACAATACCAGGAAGGAAGTTCGGGTTGTTGATGTTTGTCTGCCATTCTCGCTCTGTCTGCACAGCGTGCGTGAACGCGCTGATGACGTATCCTGTCTGCGTGAACCAGGTGCGCAGATGTATGCTAATACATACTTTGACAGGCAGGTAGGAAAGTCAATGAAAAATCTCGGACCGATTTCTTGGTCCTACGCCTTCCACAGAATATATAAATACAGATAAATACATTTAGACCACTTAACTTAATGATTGCTATCGGGATGTGAAGAGACTTTTAACCAGCATAACAAAAAATGTTTCTGAAGACAATCCCCTATTGCACCTTTAAAAGAAGTGTTGACCCATTACAGTAGGATGTAAGATAGATATTCATTGATACGTTATGCATCAAATACTCATTTACAAAGCACATGTGTGTATAGCTTCACCCAGATTCTCATCAAAATCATACATGTATTTATCAAACACATCATGCTGTGTTTATCTTCGGATTGTGCTGGTCATTGATTGGTTTAGAGCTGTAAAATGATGAGCATTATCGCAAATAGCCGTGAAAGTCACAGACAGTGTTGTTGTTTTTCATTCCTTTTGCCTTTTCTGAATTGCTCTGCTTTCAGAGGTTCATAAAGAAGTGGGGGATGTGTGTTATGCATCATGGGATATGATGGAGGAATGGGGCAGTAAAGGGTGCAGCAGCTGACTCCCTCTGGAGAAGTGCAGCAGTTCTCTGCTAACATCACTCTCCTTTAGTCTGCCATGTTGCCGCCACTGAAAACCCAGTGTCCCAACATGCATTTTCACTGTCGTCGCTTTTCCATTGCTCTGTCCAGCAAATGTGCTTGATGCAGCAGCAGTGGGAATTTGTAGCTTTCCACTCAGACAGACCATGTTCAGGAAAGCTGGGATTGATATTTGATTTGTGTGAAGTGTAAATGGCTCAGTCGAAAATAAAAAATGTCATCGTTTACTCACCCTCATGTTGAAAGGACATGAAAAGGACTTAATAAAGCCCCCACAAGCACCATAAAAGTATCATAAAAATAGTCCATACACTATATTCCTCTTCTGACCTCATACAATAGATTTGTGTAAGAAACATATAGAAATTTACATATTTACTGATTATTTTCACAGCACAATCGCAGCGTCTGTATTGTTGAATCAGTGAGTTCAAGAATCTGATTTGTGAACAAATTCTTAAGACCATGAATATTTAAATAATCTAAAGAACTTTTTTTTCCAGTATAAAGAAGCTTTTGTGGAATGGAAAGGTTCCATGGATGTTAAAGTTTCCAATGCCAATAAAGAACCTTTATTTCTAATAGTGGAAGAGTGGTCAAAATACTGTCACATTTAGCTTTGGAGGAGAAAAAAAGTCATGCAAGTTTGAAATGACATGATGGTGAGTAGATAATGACAGAATTTTTGTTTTTTGGTTGTGAGGTTGTTTGTGTGTTTGTTAGTTTGTGAACTATCCCTATATGGTTTTGTTGAAGAGGGGATGAGCTAGATTGTCTGGTTAGGATGTATCATAGACATAATATTGTTGTGTAATTGTATAACTTTCTAAAACAGAAATGCGCTAATCCTCTCTCGCCATTTTGTTGGAAAAATTATTCACAGGCTGGAAGATTGTGTTTAGAATTCATCACGACTTGGCTCAGTCTATGGCACTGCATAATGGCATGTGTCTCACTTTATGAGGAAAATTACACTAAACAATGTTTTTGCCCCATGGTATGTTTTTGAATCTGTTGCTTCAGAGTTGTTCTGGTAAATTAGCATCATATTTTTATTTCAAACCATATTACAGTTAACACACTTTAGCTATCTTGGCACCTGAGGTGGTGTCCGCTGCTGGAATAATGATTCATAAAGCCACCTGTTGGACACCACACACAAGCACATCTGTTTATGTATATATGTTGCATAAATTGTAAGCTTTAAATGGAAGTTTGCCCACTGAAAATGTGACTACCATCTGTTTTATGTTGACACTGCTAGCATGTTTTTCTGGTTTGGTTTATCTTGTTTTCTTTCAATACCAATGTACAAATAGCCTACTAAATTGATGATGCTAAAATTGTTTAGAACCAAAGATTGATGCCCGTAAGGCTGAAAATGCTTGTCTAATCTAACATTGCAGTCGAATAGGATATAATGAAGGGTTTTCATTATTCTTTTACTAATCCATTACTAATCTGTTGTTCCTGGGTAACAAGCAGTCTGGGGAAGTGGCATATAAATATTCATGAAGTACGTTGATTAATGTATGTAGATCAATGCAGGCAGCAGAGGCCGTGGAGCCCCCTAGTGGTGACCTGTCAGCGCAGTTTTACTTCAGTTATTTGCTGGATATGGTTTATACCTGCAAAGGTTTGTTTCAATTATGAGATAAGTATAGATAGCTTCTATTTTAATAGAAACATATTTCATTGCTAACAATTTACAATAAAGTTATTTGTTAATTCATGTTTGTTAATAATACATTAATGTTAATTTATACAACTTGTGTATGTAGAAATTACATTAGCATTATTAAATACTGTAAAATAATTGTTAGGCTAGTTAATGATATCTAATGCACTAATGCAGGTTTATGTGTCTTTAAAAGCACTGATAAGACAAGAGCAGTGAAACCCTATAGGCTCAAATGTACACTGGTTTTATCTTTCTAAACGGACGTGTTTAACACAGTGACTTTCAGCTTGCCCGTAGCGATGGTGATTGTCTAACAGTTTGACGTTTTGATTTTATAACCGTGTTAATGTGAGCAGTATCCAGGTGAATGCTGAGGGTTGCTGCTCTTATAATGGCCAGCAGAAGCAAGAGGCTCATATCATTGATGCTTCCTTTAAAATGTGTTTATTGATTTGCACTATGCTAAAGAACTGAAGAGTGCAGTAGTAATTCTTCAGTTCTTCAGCTGGTATAGTCTGCATCAGCAAATGTAAGGAGACTAATTCTCTGGCCCTGAAACTGCTTGTGATGGACAGATTTTAGAGGTAATGTCCGTCTGATTGATCTGCATTGCTTTGCTCTCAATAAAAGAGCTTATACTGCTTTGGGTTTTATTTTGCTTGTTTAACCTCAGCCCTGGAGCTGTTTGTGTGAAAATGAACAATCGTAATTGCTTCGAAATATCTTTATTATTTGGCCCAGAGGTATTGTGTTACATAAACTGTTCATTTATCATTCGAATGTGCTGCAGTTCTTTGTATTTATATACAGTAGTCTGACTCCCATCCTCAGGCGTTTCATGGGATGTTGTGAGAGTAAAGGTGTGTGAAGGTGCCATTATGAGGGTCAGTGATTAAGGTCACTCATATGTTATATTCCCAGCAGTATCTTGGCATGACTTTGGCCTGCAGAAGGTAATGAGGTGTGGCTCTGTTTCCTCTCACAGCCTGAGGAGCTGACAAACATTCTGGAGATTAGCAACATCGTCTTCACTAGCATGTTTGTCCTCGAAATGCTCTTCAAACTTCTGGCCTTTGGCATCTTTGGCTATATCAAGAACCCCTACAACATCTTTGATGGGATTATTGTAGTCATAAGGTAAGACCTTTTATTTATCTGTATGTGTCTATATCTTATATAATACTTAATAAAATACTAAACTTACTAAATATACAATGCATTTTAAAAGTTTTTAATGTTTTTGAAATAAATCAAAGCTGGATTTATTTGGATAATAATACAGTAAAAACAGTAATATTGTGAAATATCATTACAATTTGGCCCCAAACAGTTAGTGTATAATCAAATACGCAAAAAAACAGAAAATTTATATTTTGCAATTATGAAATGAAAAATATGGAATGTTAAAAAAAATAAATTAAAATGACCTAAAATTGTAGTAATTAAAAAAATGGATGTTATGCATCAGCTACCCAGAAGCTACTATGAAGGATAGTGGGAAATAATTTTTTTAAATACATATTCATTTAAACATACTGTATGTAAGCATTGTTGAGGTTATGATTTTTTTTATTTTATCTGAACTATTATATATAGAAATGCATTAAATATAACCATGTGTTTCTGTGACAGTGTGTGGGAGATCATAGGGCAGGCGGATGGGGGTCTGTCAGTGCTGAGGACGTTTCGTCTCCTGCGTGTGCTCAAACTGGTGCGCTTCCTCCCTGCTCTGCGCAGACAGCTGGTGGTCCTGATGAAGACCATGGACAACGTGGCTACATTCTGCATGCTGCTCATGCTTTTCATCTTCACATTCAGGTGCAGACCACACCCACAACTCACTCAGCCAATTAGAACCGAGCTTGGTGTGCAGTGTCACCAAGACTATAATCTTGATTTATAGAAAACACTGTGCAACATTAATTCTAGTTTGTGAGTAGTAATGTGCTGAAAATGTGTTGTCTTGTCATCAGCATAATTCTGGAATTAGCACAAATGTTTATTCATTTCATTTTTCTTTTACTGTCAATACAGCATTCTTGGAATGCACCTCTTTGGATGCAAATTCAGCCTGCAAATGGAGAATGGAGACACCATTCCAGACAGGAAAAACTTTGATTCCCTGCTGTGGGCCATTGTCACTGTGTTTCAGGTCAGAAGAGAGACTGTGCTGGCTGTGCTGGGGTTAGGCAATGCATACACTGGGGGGAAAAAATGGGTGTAGAAACAATTTTTTTACTAAGAAATTGCTTGTAAATTTCACAATAATTACAAAGAAATAGCAAGTAACACACTGAATTAAATTGTACATTTTTACGTAATCCAAGTTGTGTAGACCTCAAACAGTGTAGACCTGTCCTTAATACGAAACATTATTTTCAACTTTTATTTAATACTCTGAGACATTGACATATCAAATGCAGTGTGCCGTAAACAGTGTTGGCAAGGTTACTTTTGAAATGTAATAGGTTACAGATTACAAGTTACCCTATTTAAAATGTATTAAGTTGTGTAACTATTTCAGTTACTTTTTTAATGTAGCTGATTACATTTGATTACTTCTCTAAATTTCTAGCAAATGTTTTCAACTGCTAATCAGTTAATCAACTCTCAGACAGGTTGTAGCCTAAAGCTTTCAGCAGCAATGTGGATTGATGTACAATAACTGGCAGAAGTGGTGCACTGCAAATTCAAACAAGAGAACCAATCAAAAGCATCAGAATAGCATCACTTTACTAAATGGCCTTTAAAGGCATCGTGCACATCAAAACAGGCAAAGCAACAAATTAATATTATTTAACGTATCCTACTTTTTACAAAAAATATTCAGATGTAACCCCCTTTGTAATCGTTGACATATAAGTAACTGTAATTTAATTACACATTTTTTTCTCAGTAAATGTAATGGATTACATTTATTTCGTAATCAAATTACGTAACACTGTTATGTAACTAGTTACTCCCCAACACTGGCCATAAATAAATAAATTGCTTATGTCTCTCAGGTTAGGGTTATTTATGATATTATACATATTTGTATATCCCATGAACCTATTTATAAACTCCATATCAATATCTTGAGCTATATAGTAGCTACTATGCAGCTGCCTACAATGGAAGGCCTTTGTGTGCATTATTTCCTGCATTAGCACAATTTTCTGTGATGAAGCTGAGTTGCTGAACCTGCACTGTATCTGTATAATGCTGTACTGCAGCTATTCTCATTAGATTATCACAACATTATTTTGCAGTTAAAAAAGACTTAATTGCTAGACTGGGACAGCCAATTACTTTCACTTCAGTAAGAAGCAGAACTTTGAATAGTTTTTACAGTATCATCACAAAACACTACTCAAATTGGACCTACGGCATCAAATTCTGTATTAATTTCCTCCACTATGTAATTCAGATGCAGGAAATTACATGTACAAAACACTACTCTATTGCACATTTAATTGATACATCGCAGATTTTTTCCTCTTCTGTTTCTCAAGCTGCTTACGTTTGTATTTCAGATCCTGACCCAGGAAGACTGGAACGTGGTCCTCTATAATGGAATGGCTTCCACCACCCCATGGGCGGCTCTGTACTTTGTGGCTCTGATGACTTTTGGGAATTATGTGCTCTTTAACCTACTGGTGGCCATCTTAGTGGAGGGATTTCAGGCAGAGGTAACAAAAAAAAAACATCTATTTCAGCTGGCTCAGTTTCGGTAGTGTTTTTTTTTTCTAAAGATATGTGCACAAAGCAGTTGCTTTCTCCAGATAGTCTGGGGAGTTAAACTTCATTGCTCACTGCAGTCAACATAAAAATAAGTATTTGACCTAAGTATCATTCTTCCAAATAATATTTCGGCAGTCAAGACGTATGTTTTCTATCAGCTGTTGATAGAACCATTTTTGCAAATGAATGACTCTTTCGATTTAATCAGTCAAACTTTACAATTGTTCGTGATTCAGTTTGATTCATTTGAACAGTTCACTCAGGCACTGAATCGTTTGCAGTGGTTTCCTATACCAAATGGTAATGGGATACTTTATAAGACTGTTGGAAAAATGTTGGACGAGGTGGATATTTACGAAACAAAACTTGCAAATGTCTTCTATTGTTTGTTATAGTGACAAAGCAGTTTTTTATTGCACATACAGCTTGTGAACAACTGTAATCCAGGTAAAGCCAATTTATATCCAAACATCCAAAACATTATCAAAATACTGTCAAAATATTGGGACACTTTAAATAATTAAATTAATACAGCATCAAATGTAAAAAAGTAAAGAATGTGCTTCAATTAACTGCTTTTTTTACACCATGAATGTATAAAAATAAATATAAAACATCAAAATTTACATCTTATAAACCAATAAATCAACTCCATGTCTAAATCAACAGCTAAAATGAAGATTTGTTTAACAGTTGTAAGCCTTTGTGTTCATTACTTCAGATTTAGCTTAACAAGCATGAAGACGCTTGTGCCGTTTTTCACAGTCCTCACAACTTGTTTTGTACATGTAAAGTTTATATTATCTACAAAATAGAAATTAAATAAATATCGAATAGGAATTAAATCGAACATACTGTACATTATATATGTTAATTCGAACTCTAAATATGTAGCTAATATGCAAATTGGTCGCTCCTTGAACAAGGTTGAACTTGTGCTTCAGGGATTTACAGAATTTGGCTTCTTAAGCATGCAGATCTGTGCACAAACAAAGTAGCTGCTTTCTCCAGATAGTCTGGGGAGTTAAACTGCATTGCTGATACAGTGCTGCAGTGTTTGGCCCATCTGTCATGTTGGGGACTGTGTGAATTGTGAACTTGTTATTAGTAGGTGTAAACCTGCAAAGGCTAAAACAAACACCAACTTCGCACAACCCTAACCGCAATCGAGGTCTAACAGGGTAGCAGACAGAGTACTGATAATATGGGCACCACAGCTGTCTGTATGCACAGCAGGCTGTGACTGAGTGAAGGCCAGTGTGTTGTTGATGCCAGAGGCCGACGTCCTCTGAGAGAACGGCTCCTGTTTAGCTTCAGTGCATCCTGAATAACACTTTAGTGGGCTGAGTGGTTACTGAAATACTGGGAGCTGTCCACAGAAAGCTCTTGTGTTTTGCAGGGAGATGCTAACAGGTCAGATGCAGATGAGGAAAAGCGCTCGGTGAACTTTGAAGAGGAAGAGAAGATGGGGGAATTACGAGCTACAGGTTACTTTCTTTTACACATAAAATGTTATTGCCGGCTAACATGTAAAATGCACACTTTTTACACAACATAGATTTCTCCTATTCTTAGCCTGTTCATTCAGGCATATAGTTAAGTTCATTTCAGACCCCATTAAAGAGGCCAGTGGTCCTCTAGAACCACATCACCATTTCACATATATGAATCTACTGTGGAAAATGCCCTTTTTATGTGTCCTTCTTCCATTTACTTTTACTACTTTGTCATTCATGGATAATCATTTTTTATTTTGTTTACTGGATGGTGATGACTTTCTTTGAATGACCCCTTTTACTTCCACCAACAGAGTTGAAGATGTACTCTCTGATGATGTCAGCGAATGGGCATGTGGATCCTCGAGGCACTTTGCCTCCTCCAATCATCATGCGCACTGCTGCCACCCCCATGCCCACTCCGAAGAGCTCACTCGGCCCCGAGTCGGTGTTTGGTTTGACCGAGTCCAGGCGGGGCAGTGGCATCTCAATAGATCCAAATGCTTTTGATCAAAAATCCCTGGTAAGAAAAAAACAGCTGTTAAATTACAAACAGGTGTCCATTACAGTGACATCACATATAGATTGCTTGAGCATACAGTACAGTAGTGAAAAGAACATAAAACAGGAAGTGACGTCTTCATTTATCATTATGACATGCGTAGATTAGTTCAGGTTTCTACGTAATGTCATGTTCTACGACGAAAATACTACGAAGATAATTATTAATAAAAAATGTATGATATTTTACTTTCTACAATATTTTACCTCGACAAAGTATTGTAGAATATGTTTTAAATATTTTTTTTAAAACATGATTAATATGTGTACACTTAATACAACGTATTCAAGGTGTATAGACAACATGACATCACTTTCTGTTTGATAGTTGCACCGCATGATATTTTTATATTCATTACATTTAAACCTTTCCTGAAAGTGGTATGCTTTTTCAAAATAAAATAAAACAAACATAAATATGAAGAACAAATTTTTTTTTACAAACATGGCACATTTTTAAACTATTTTCTTCATTTTTTTGTTTCTTCATTGTTTGTCACTGACTCATACCTTTAAAGGGGTCATATGATGTTGCTAAAAAGAACATTATTTTGTGTATTTGGTGAAATGAAATGTGTTTATGCGGTTTAAGGTTAAAAATAAATTCTTCATATAAACAAAACGTACTTACAGTCTTTGAGTCAGAACAGCCGGCATTGTAGTCTACTCTACCAGGATCAGGAACTTGTAACACTTCAAAGAGAAACGAAAAATTGAAATCTCATCATATGACCCCTTTAATGTAATGTCTCTTTAACACTAGAGCTACTGGAATTCTATAACTACTAGAATGGCCATAGCGGTCATTCTGACCGTTCATACTTGACTGAACTGAATGCCATTTTTGTCATATCATATTTACATTCGAAGCTTCTTTTGAGGTTTTAAAATGAAGCTTTGAATGTCTGCAGCTGGATGCAATAATCGCATGCCAATGTGCGTTGGCTCGTTTAGTTTACACTCGAAGTAGATTGGTCTCTCTAAGCGAGATCCCAATTTCGTCGGTCATCCGACGTGACGTCTCCGTTCCCTCCTTCAGGGAACGAGGGTTACCATACGTAACCGAGACGTTATATGGGTTTTATTTCAGCAAAGTTATTACATTTTAAAATTTAAAAACGGTCAAAATGACGGCCATGAAACTTACAATATTAAAACGCAATTTATTAAAAGTTTAACAAAAATTACATTTTTAAGGCCCTTTTAAATGTTTGATTTTTTTTTTTTCAAAGTGTCTGTCAAATGCATAAATGTCATTTTGTGTTTTTTTTTTTATTGTTCATTGCTATTTATTTTACTATAGTCAGGGGCATTGCTAGACACAGGGCCATGAGCCTGAGTAAAATACTGCTGTTCCCCATTAAAATATTATTAATAAAACTGTTCTTTTTGATTCACTTTGATTCATTCGGACAGTTCCCTCATGCAATGAATCATTTGCAACTGTTTCTCTCACCAAAACCTTAAGTGATTACTTTATAAGACAGAAAACAAACAATCAAAAAATGGATGAGGTGGATATGTACCTTAAATCCACTGTAGGAAACAAAACTTGCAAATGTCTTCTATTGTTTGTCAGTGACAAAGCAGCTTTTTATTGCGTGTACAGCTTGTAAACAACTCTCTACTGCAGATAAAGCCAGTTTATATGCAAAACATCGTCAAAAAATATCAAAATATGGGGACACTTTTCGATGTGCCCCAGTACTAATGAAAGGCTAGAAATGACTGTAGTTCTTAATTGCAGGAACAAGCAATATGTGTAACGTAGGCATATTCCTTTACTATCCCAGACTAGCCCAAGAAGATCTCCATGCCACCCCCGTGGCTCAGGCAGTAACTGGGGCAGCCGCAGGTCAAGCTGGAACAGCTTAGGACGGGCGCCAAGTTTGAAAAGGAAGGACACGTCTGGGGAGAGGGAGTCTCTGCTGTCTGGGGATGGCAGGGGCAGCTTTGAGGACGAAGACTTGGAGGTGGAGAAGCTGGCCAATATCAGTGTGGGCTCACTGCAGCATCCCAGCTCTCTAGATATCCCTGAGCTGCCCCAAACCCCCAGCTTCAGCTCACTGGGAGACTACCACGACTGCAATGGAAGAAGCCTGCACCTGCCATCTGAGCTGTCTGCCAACCTCAGCAAGGAAGACTCCATTGCAGAGGAGGACATGGATGATGTAAGTTATGGTTTAATGCAGTGTTGTTTGTTATAGTCAGACAGTGCTTATGACTTGCTTTTCGAAGATGTCTTCCCAGGGGTTTGTCTTGTGAGGAGACAAATTGGCATGCTGTAATTGATCAGCCCCGTAGTCTGAAGGCAGTAATTGTTTTTCTTGGTGGGTGAAAAGTGACCTTTATTGGTGTCAGAGTGATGATATCTGCTCACTCAAGAGGCCTCGTCTTGAAATTGAGTTTCAAGTGCTGTGAAATAAACAGAAACCAACAGGGCTACACTACAGGCTTACATACAAATAACATACACAACCAGCCAAAAGTCTGGACTTGCACAACTTATTCTTTATTTTTTACTCATTTTAGAATAGTAGTAATCTTTAAAACGTTTGGATTTTTTTAAAGAAAAAAACAAAAGTTTATATTTCTGTTCTGTGCTGTTCTTTTGAAGTTTCTATTCATCAAAGAATCCTGAAAAATGAATATATTATGGTTTCCACAGAAGTATTAAGCAGCACAACTGTTTTCAAAATTGATAATAAGAAATGTTTCTGGAGCAGCATATTAATCAGCATATTAGAATGATTTCTGAAGGATCATGTGACACTGAAAACTGGAGGAATGACTGCTTAAAAAGTCAGCTTTAACATTTTAAAAAATATTTATATCTGCTCACTCAAGAGGCCTCGTCTTGAAATTGAGTTTCAAGTGCTGTGAAATAAACAGAAACCAACAGGGCTACACTACAGGCTTACATACAAATAACATACACAACCAGCCAAAAGTCTGGACTTGCACAACTTATTCTTTATTTTTTACTCATTTTAGAATAGTAGTAATCTTTAAAACGTTTGGATTTTTTTAAAGAAAAAAACAAAAGTTTATATTTCTGTTCTGTGCTGTTCTTTTGAAGTTTCTATTCATCAAAGAATCCTGAAAAATTAATATATTATGGTTTCCACAAAAGTATTAAGCAGCACAACTGTTTTCAAAATTGATCATAAGAAATGTTTGACTGAATGAATGACTGCTTAAAAAGTCAGCTTTAACATTTTAAAAAATATTAAAAATTTTATTTATTTTTTACTCATTTTAGAATAGTAGTAATCTTTAAAACGTTTGGATTTTTTTAAAGAAAAAAACAAAAGTTTATATTTCTGTTCTGTGCTGTTCTTTTGAAGTTTCTATTCATCAAAGAATCCTGAAAAATGAATATATTATGGTTTCCACAGAAGTATTAAGCAGCACAACTGTTTTCAAAATTGATAATAAGAAATGTTTCTGGAGCAGCATATTAATCAGCATATTAGAATGATTTCTGAAGGATCATGTGACACTGAAAACTGGAGGAATGACTGCTTAAAAAGTCAGCTTTAACATTTTAAAAAATATTTAAAATTTTATTTTAAATTGTAATAGTATTTCACAATATTGCTGTTTTTACCGTTTATTTTTGATCAAATATATCTTTGGTGAGAGCATAAGAGACTTCATTTAAAAACATAAAAAAATCTTACCAACTCCAAATTAATGAATGATATGTCGCTTTGGAAAAAGCATCTGCTAAATGAATAAAAGTTATAAAAAATTAATAAATTTAAAAAAAGGTTGTCTTTTATATTCCTGAAATTATTTTATTTCTTGCAAAAAAAAATTTGAGTTATGCATCATGGAGCCACTACTGAGCTGTTGAAAAAAAGAGAAAAACACTCACTTTCAATTGTTTGAAAGGAAGTATTAAGCAGCACAACTGTTTTCAAAATTGATAATAAGAAATGTTTCTGGAGCAGCATATTAATCAGCATATTAGAATGATTTCTGAAGGATCATGTGACACTGAAAACTGGAGGAATGACTGCTTAAAAAGTCAGCTTTAACATTTTAAAAAATATTAAAAATTTTATTTTAAATTGTAATAGTATTTCACAATATTGCTGTTTTTACCGTTTATTTTTGATCAAATATATCTTTGGTGAGAGCATAAGAGACTTCATTTAAAAACATAAAAAAATCTTACCAACTCCAAATTAATGAATGATATGTCGCTTTGGAAAAAGCATCTGCTAAATGAATAAAAGTTAAAATTAATAAATTTAAAAAAAGGTTGTCTTTTATATTCCTGAAATTATTTTATTTCTTGCAAAAAAAAATTGAGTTATGCATCATGGAGCCACTACTGAGCTGTTGAAAAAAAGAAAAAGAAAAACACTTTCAATTGTTTGAAAGGTGCTGCATGGTGTTAACTGAAACGACATAATTTAGTACATGAAAAAAGTTCATAAAAACTGCATAAAAGTGTCAGTGCTTCATATGAACAAGTGGAAGTTAGTTGGAAATGTTATTATAATGATTTCCCACAATTGTATTACCATCCGCATAATTACAGCTGCTTCATAGTGTCATTTCTTCAAGTTAATCCATCTTTCTAGCCAAGTACCTAGCATCAATTAGACGTTTAGACAAAAAGGATTTTAATTGTGCAAAATGTATACTGCAGAAAACACATTTGGAAAATAAACAGTTGGGCTACAAAATGGTAATTCATCAAATTTAAACAAGCATCCATTTGAATCCCTCTTTATTGATATATTGAATCGAGACCATTAGCGTAATGTTTATAACCGGAGGTTCTTATCTACACTAAATACTTTAAACTCCTGACAATGCTGTAGTTAGTGTTTAGAGCTGTAGTAATTAGCTGTAGTTCTTGTTCAGTTTGCTTATACATCTCTCTTGTGGGTTACAGAGCTTCTGTTTCCGTCTCAAGAGGACGTTTGAGGCATATAAACCTAAGTGGTGTAAAGATCATGAAGAGTGGTCCCTTTACCTGTTCTCTCCTCAGAACAAGTAAGCATTTGCCATCTCCAACAACAACTGGCCAATTACTGCTTTCCTTTCAAAGTTTCACATTCAGTTTTGAAATGCAATATTGTTATACAATTCTGTCCTAGGTTTCGGATGATGTGTCAAAGGTTAATTTCTCACAAGTTGTTTGATCATGTAGTCTTGGTATTCATCTTCCTAAACTGCATTACCATTGCTCTGGAAAGACCCTCTATTCAGCCATCTGTAAGTTTGCTCAAGTACAATCATGGCCATTTGCATCTAATATTTGGTGTTGTCATGCTTACTGGATGTACGATACAGTATGTCCTTTTGTTCTTCATTTCAGGAGCGAAAGTTCCTCAGTATCTCCAATTATGTTTTCACTGTGATTTTTGTTGCTGAAATGACTGTGAAGGTATGGTACAGGTTTTTTCTCTATATATAAGGAGTATTCATTCCACAAAACACTCTTACAGATGTGATATGGCTTGTGTTAAAGGTGGTGGCCCTCGGCTTCTGCGCCGGGAAGCAAAGTTATCTGCAGAGCACCTGGAATGTTCTGGATGGGGTGCTGGTCTCTGTCTCTCTCATTGACATTCTGGTCTCTCTGGCCTATACTGGTGGAAACCGAATCCTTGGCATCCTGAGGGTTCTTCGTCTGCTGAGAACTCTGCGGCCGCTGAGGTGAGTCAGCGAAAGGTCACAACGCGCCTGTCTGAGGCTCAAGCAATCAATGAAATCCGCTACATGGTCATTGCTCCAGTTAAGGAATAAACTGAAGGTTAATTATGTGGTTGCATTATCTCCTGAGTCTACATGCTAAAAGCCCCTTCTCACTTACCGATTCAACTAAAGCTTAAAGTCTATTATCCTTGAATTATTTGAGAGGTAAGACTAAGCAGAGGTTTATCGATCTTAAAGGTTTGTACCAGACAATTGTACCATTACATAAATGTTCCTGGAATTCAAACAGGGTGAAATAGGTTGCGCCTTTGTTTTTTCACATAAATAGAGTGATTAGTCGTGCTCCTGGACTGAAGCTGGTGGTGGAAACGCTAATAACGTCCCTGAGGCCCATTGGGAACATTGTGCTGATCTGCTGTGCCTTCTTTATTGTCTTTGGCATTCTTGGAGTTCAGGTAATTGCTTCAAGTGCTACATGCTTTTCAACAGAAATGTGAGGGATTTTCAGATAACGCAGTTGCGATATTATCAATTACAGCTCTTCAAAGGAAAGTTTTACCATTGTGAAGGTGGCGACACCAAAAACATCACCAATAAGTCTGATTGTCTTCAAGCAAACTACAAATGGATTCGGAGAAAGTACAACTTTGACAACTTGGGACAGGTAAGTGTTATTCATTGGTTTGGACACATTTAAAGCGATAGGTCATTAATTACTCACCCTCATGTCGTTCTAAACCCGTAAGACGTTCGTTCATCTTTGAAACACAAATTAAGATATTTTTGATGAAATCTGACAGCAACACAACTACCACGTTCAAGGCCCAGAAAGGTAGTAAGGACATCATTAAAATAGTCCATGTGACATCGGTGGTTCAACTGTAACATTATGAAGCTACGAGAATACTTTTTGTGGCAATGAAAATGAAAATAACTACTTTATTCAACAATTTCTTCTCTTCCCTGTCAGCCTTCGATGCACGTTCACGAGAGTACCACAATGCATGCGTGCAGTGCTGCTGATGCAGGAGCCGGCGTTCTGGCGTAGAAACCGGATGCACTGAGACTTGTTTGCAAAGAGAGTGATGCATCGTGGTACTCTTGTTAATGTGCATCAAGGACTGTCACAGAAGAGAAGAAATAGTTACATTACTTTATTTCATTATTTTTAGGGTTGCACTATATTAAATTTAGATAAATTATCGGGCGATATGGGTGAAATTGACATCATTTTTATTGCTCCGATAAATAAATGAAATCCGATAAAGTACTCTTGCTGGTAAATTAATCAATCAGTCTGATTTATCCGAGATTCATCTGCTTTCCGAGTGAAAGTGACTGCAGCTTTAAAACTGCGTCGCGCTCATTACGTCATCACCCGTGAACATGTCTTTTTCTCGGTGGCAGTGGAGGACATTACCATTGCTATTTGCAAAGCATGTTCAGCAAGGATTTCGAGAGGAGGAAAAAAGGCGTCAAGTTTTAATACAACAAATCTTATATCTCACTTGAAAGGTCGTCATCGCGGCGAAGCTGTACTAAAAGAATATGAAGCAGCCGCGGCAGCAGCTACTAGCGCTAAGCCCAAGTCAAATAAATCCCAGTTCCCAGACCTTGCCTCACTTACACAGAAATACCTGTCAACCCCTTGCCCCAGCATAGACAGTGAACGTTTATTTCCTGCTGCTGCAAATGTTATGGATGAAAAAAACACAGAATTGGGTGTGAGAAGTCAGAGATGCTTCTGTTTATCAAGAATCTCCCACTAATGCCCTCACATAACAAATAGAAAAGACAAATAGACATTAAACAGAGACAAGTGAAAAGATATATACTTTAGAGGAGGGTAAGACATGTTGAATAGTGCAAATTGGAAATCATTTTAAGTTTATTATTATTTATTTTATGTTAAACTATATCATTTCAGAGAAATCTCTATGCCCTATTTACTTTTGAGGATGCACTTTTGTTTTTCTTTTTTTCGAGGTTGACAAATGTCAATGCATTTTATTTATTACGTATTTGAAAAACATGACTTAAAGTCAATATACCTTTCTCATCCTCATGCACTAAAAGTTGAATAGATGCATTTCTTTGTTATGCATGAAATACTTGAATATAAATTTGTTTTTAATAAGTTGTTAATTGCAGGTAAACCATAGTTCTGTCATAGTTCTGTTAAACTCTTTCTGTTACTGAGTATTGTGGTGCCTTACACAAAAAATAAACACATTTGAAGAGTCAGGACTGATGTTTGCTATTATAGTTAGGCCAGAGCTACTAAAATATCAGTTTAATCAGTGCTTTTTAGATTTTCTATTCTCCTGGGTGCACAAACTGTAGATTATATGAAAATTATAATAAAAAAATATGAACTTATTGGTTATTGGTATCGGTATCAACCATAAGAAGGACTTAATTATCGGTTATCGGTATCGGTTAAAATTTTACATATCGTGCATCCCAAAAGTTGCTTTTAATATGTTATGATCATGGCACGATATGTGGCGCAATGGCCAAAAATGTCAGTCTGCATGTGTACTTAGACCAAAGAGTGCGTCCTCTGTGAACGACTGCCAAGTTTACACTACCGTTCAAAAGTTTTGGGCCGGTAAGATTTTTTAATGTTTTTGAAGTCTCAAAAACAAAGTCTCTTATACTCACCAAGGCTGCATTTATTTGATCAAAAATAAAGTAACAGTAAAATGTAAGTAAAAATGTAATTTATTCCTTTGATGTATCCCATTACTCCAGTCTTCAGTGTCACATGATCCTTCAGAAATCATTCTAATATGCCGATTTGCTGCTTAAGAAACATTTATTACTGTTATCAGTGTTGAAAACAGTTGTGCTGCTTAATATTTTTGTAGAAACCATGATAAATTATTTTCTCCTGATTCAAAAGAACACCATTTATTTGAAATAGAAGTCTTTTGTAACAAATGTTTTTACTGTGACTTGTTCACTTTAATGCTTCCTTGGTGAATACAAGTATATAGTTGTTTAAAAAATCTAACTCACCCCAAACTTTTGAACAACAGTATATATCAGACAGATACAAACTCCATTGCAAAATGGATTGCTATGGACCGTTGGGCAGTGATAGGCTTATGATCAATGATGCTGAAATGAAATTAACAATGTACTGGCTTCTAAAGCCACTTTTTATATTCAAGGATTCAGTCCTCTCCTGTTGTGTCTTTGATTTATCTTCATTTGGGGATTTGCTAAGCAAAACTGATAAATGCATTTAATTTAATTAATCAGCAAAGTTAAAGGGTTAGTTCACCCAAAAATTTTGTCATTAATTAGTCACCCTCATGTCGTTTTAAACCCATAAGACCTTCGTTCATCTTCAGAACACAAATTAAGATATTTTTGATGGAATCTGAGAGCTGTCTGACCCTGCATAGACAGCAACGCAACTGAAACGTGAAAGTCCAGAAACGTAGCAAGGAGATCTGTAAAATAATTCAAGTGACATCAGTGGTTCATCCGCAATTATACGAAGCTACGAGAATACTTTTTGTGCGCAAAAAAAA